TTGTGTATAGTTAGAGTTGGGGATAAACACAGCGGGATATATTTATAGTTAGTGATAGAGGGAGGAGTTGATGGTGGGTGTTGGTGTTGGAGCCAGAAGTATAGTTTTTTTGTTGTTTTGTTATTTATGTTCACTTGTAAAATTTTTATTTAATTTCTGGTGTTTAATTCATCTGTTTATATTTACTTTCAGTGCTCAATTCAGTTGTTTATATTTATTTTTAGTTTTTAATTTAATTTTTTATTTTTATTTTTTTCTTTTGGTGATAGACTCTGCTGTTTTATGTGGCGAGAAGGCAGATCCTCTCAGCGCTCGTGAGGAGGACGCTGTGCAGCTCTCTTCGGCGGCGCACATCGGCCTCTGGTGACGGTTGTAGTGCATTTCGCCGCAATAAATACAATTAAATACATAAAAATTACAAAATAAATATTATTTTGGGGGTAATTACGCAAAAAGTCAGCAGAAAACATCTGCAGCTGCACGCGGAGGGTTGTAGACATGGCTGGTGCTGCTGCTCCGGGCCTTGGGTTGCTGCTGTCTATGTGCTTGTGCTGCGTGCCTGTTCCCGGCGACACAATATATATTTTAATAAAACTGTTTAAAAATAAACTAAATATATTTTCTTTTTGATTCTAAATGAATTTCGCTTAAACAACCTGCGGGGCTGAGGCGGCCGCCCGCTGCTGCCACTCCTAGTAATATAACAGAGGCCCCATCGGCTCTCAGCATATGTTCATGCGTATGAGGAGCGCCTTCGCTGCTGCTGCTGTTCTTTGTTGCTGTTGGTTGAAGTTATATCTGATTTGTTCTTTATTTGTCTTCTTTAGAGCTTTCACAAACCACTGCAGCCGCATAAACACACACCACGCCGCATATCATCAGCACCGCGCAGCAGCAGCGCAACAGCGTCGTGAGCGCTGCAGCAGCAGAAGCTCTTCTTTTCTGTTTTCTTTTGTTTCTTAGCCCCTCGAGGAGTATTTGTGGTATTCTTATCGCCTCCTCTTTTTTTTATTTCTCTCCATTTGCATCCAAAGCCCCAGCGCCCCACAACTGCCCCCACACCCTGCAGCGGCAGCAGCAGCAAGCAGCAGCAGCAGCAGCAGACAAACCGCGCCGCCTTTCGCCCAATTTTTTCCCGCAGTGTACATACACCTCAGCTGGTCCCTAGACACCAGGTTCTGGTGCTGCTGCTGCTGCTGCTGCTGCTGCTGCGGTACGTGTTAGAGGACCCTGCGGCTGCAGCAGACAGCACCCTCACAACAGCAGATCTACCAGGCCTCTTCGGCATATGTTGGTACAGCTCAACCGAAACACATAGCTAGCAGCAGCAGCAGCAGCAGCAGCAGCAGCAGCAGC